TTAGCACTGGAGCTGTCCTTCCATGAAGGCTCCAGGATTAGAACTCTATGGTGTCTCTAGCTTTGGCACTATCCGTCCATGGAGTTTCTGTAGCTCTGTCACACTGTCCAAGGAATTATAGGCTCAGGCACTGGCCCTCCGTGCAGGTTCCAACTCTGATAATCTCCTTAAATGGAGTCTTTAATTCCGGCACTCTCCGTCCTTGCAATATCCAGTTGTGGCATCCGTCTAAAAGGTAATCTGTAGGTGGCCTGTAGTCTCTTTCAGAGGTCACCGCCGCCCCTTCCCGGTCACAGACCAGACCTCCTGGTTGCTGGTTTGATTGATGTATGCACCACAGTCCGGCTGATCAGGAAATGACTAAAGGAACCAAACGGGTTTCCTCTAGAAGACAGCCAGAGGTTTGTTGGTAATTCCCCTTATGCATGAAGGGTGTTGAAGAATAGGGGTAATATTCCACTTGTTGAGTTTATCAGTGGAAGGTTGCACAGTCTGGCAACCCTCTTGTGTTCATGTGCAGTGATGTCGCTGTGTAGATTTGGAAATAATCCCTCCAGAATCTTACAGATGTAGATTATCTAGCTATAACATTCCATATGGACTCCAGCTGAAACAGTCTTCCTCCAGTGATATTTCAGCACCGACACACTTTCCCCAGTGATATTTCGGCTCTGAAACTCTTCCTCCAGTGATATTTCGGCTCTGACATTTACCACGAGTTTTGGTACGAAATTTCAAACAGTTTAAATACGTAATTAAGTTCATGACTTTAGCCTAAAGACTTGAGCAGCTCTGAAACGTTGCCTGCTGGCACATGGGGAATGTTGCCTGCTGGCACATGGGGAATGTTGCCTGCTGGCACATGGGGAATGTTGCCTGCTGGCACATGGGGAATGTTGCCTGCTGGCACATGGGGAATGTTGCCTGCTGGCACATGGGAAATGTTGCCAGTTGGCACATGGGAAATGTTGCCTGCTGGCACATGGGAAATATTACCTGCTGGCACATGGGAAATGTTGCCTGCTGGCACATGGGAAATGCTGCCTGCTGGCACATGGGAAATGTTGCCTGCTGGTACACGGGAAATGTTGCTTGTTGGCACATAAGTTTTGCTTGCTGGCAGACGGGAAATGTTACCTGCAGGGAGAAGGGCAATGTTGCCTACTGGCAGAAAGGAAAATACTGCCTGCTTACAAATGGGAAATGTTGCCTGCTGGTAAACGGAAATGCTGTCTGCTGGCAAACGGGAAAATCGTGCCTAGTGACTAGCTGGAAATGCTGCTTGCTGGCAGACGGGAAATATTGCCTGTTAGCAGAGCGGAAATACCTGTGGACTGACATGGCGTGCGAACCCATAACGTGAACGCTAACACTAACTGCAATTTTAGATCCAGTCTTCACAACGTGTTTCATTTAAGAAATAAAAGGTACGGAGAACAGTTGTTGCATCAGTGCCAATTTCTGCACGTTATTATTATCAGTGATATTACTGTTACTACCCACTTTTACAAGAACAACAACTAATGATATTATGATTATTATAATTAATACCATGACTGCTACTACTACTACTACTACAACTGCTACTACTACTATTACGAGTATTATTGTGATTATTATATTATTATTATTTCACATCCAAATTGCACACTGACAGCAACAGTGAAGAAAGTGTGAACGTTTTGCACCAATATTCCATTGGAACAATAATTCGTTTTATTAAGGAATCATAGCGAATCATCGACTCAATGCAACATGTTAGTTTCTTCACGATAATTAGTATTTGCACTCACCCCATAACAAACCTGTGTTGTGGTGGTTTTCAGTAATAACATCTGCGCACTTAATGCTCTAGAGCTCACTTATATACGAAGCTTGGAATGAGTTTTAAAAAGCCTTGGAAAGATGTGTGTATTGCGTCTTAAGACACAACACTGAGGGAGTATGACGTAAGTGGTGCGTATTTACAACATTGCCTCGGTAAAACGTAGGTATTTCGTCTTTACGACAACACTGGGTAAGATGTTTGTGGGACATCTTTACAACACAACACAGCGTAGGTAAGACCTATTTGTAGCGTATCTAAAACACAACACTACCTGGAAAGACGTAAATTTTGCGTCTCCACAACGCAACCCATCATAGATGTAATACTGCGTCTTTACAAAGCAACACCAACCTCGAAAGACGTAATGTTGCTTTTCTGTAATAGAGCACAACCTAGGAAGACGTATATGTTGGGTCTCTTCAACACAACCTAAAAAGACGTCAATGCTGCGTCTCTGCAACGGAACAACACCTGTGAAGGAGTAAATATTGCGTCTCTACAAAACACACCTTGGAAAGATGTGTGTGCAACACAACGCGCACATCCAACCACAGAATGACAGTGTTTCTAGCATGTCTCTTATTGCAGTAGTTAAATTCTTCTCCTTTTTAATACTAGAGAGAGAGAGAGAGAGAGAGAGAGAGAGAGAGGGAGGGGGGAGAGGGGAGCGGGGGGAGAGGGGGAGGGAGGGAGGAGAGAGAGAGAGAGAGAGAGAGAGAGAGAGAGAGAGAGAGAGAAGAGAGAGAGAAGAGAAAGAGAGAGAGAGAGAGAGAGAGAGAGAGAGAGAGAGAGAGAGAGAGAGAGAGAGAGAGAGAGAGAGAGAGAGATACAGAGAGACAGATACAGAGAGACAGAGAGAGAGAGAGAGAGACAGAGACAGAGAAAGAATGGGTGGAGGTAAGTAATGTAGCATAGCGTGAGAACAACGAATAAAACTCACAGAGAAATAGAAAATTAAAAGAAACCACTGAAAAACACTCATTTAGAAAAAGAACTTTTATTGGAACAACGTTTTAAATAAAAGTTCTCTCTGCAAACAAGTCTCCTCACCAGTGATGCCAGCAGCGGGGCAAGCAGTCCCAAAAAAAAAACTGTTTATTGCCGGCAGTAAGTCAAGCAGTGTCAACAAAACTAACTCTCTGGTTCTCTAAGACTTCACCAGCTTTTACACATCAACTCTTAGATTTCATCTTACGCCTCAACTTCCCTCAGAACCAGAGATCAACTTCAGCTCGTACAAGGAATCCAATTCCGATTGAACAAGGGTTCCACTCCACTTACGTCATTACAAGGAATCTATTTCTCCTGTGAAAAAAGATCCATTTCCATCTCATGACAAGGATCCAATTTCACTTGTACAAAGGATCCACTTTTCTCCTGTACGAGAGATCCATTTCCCTTTGTACAAGGAATCCACGTTTCCCCTGTACAAGGGATTCACTTTCTTTTGTATAAGAGCTCCAATTCTCAGGGTTTGAGATCGACTTACCCCTTATACAAAAAAAAAAAAAACTTCCGTTTGTACATGGGATTAACTACAAAGCCTGTACTAGGGATCCATGTCCCCCGTACATCACTGTGCAAGAAACCACTTCCTCCGGTACAGGGGATCCACTTTCTCTGGTTTCAACATCCAGCCTAAAGCCTCCTTAATCTGGTGAATTTCGTGGTCTTTTATTTGATTGGATAAAGGCCGCTGTGAGCGACACATTGTTTACACAAAAGTAAATTAATTGTTTCGAATGTCTCTTGAAAATGGGTGAAGAAATGTCTTGTAAATATCCAGGAAGTCCCTTGAGGAATGATAAACATTTCGTGGAATGTTTTAATAGCTAAGAAAACAGTTGATTCTAATTTTGTTACTGCCTACGTACCTACTACTGCAACCCACTATCACTTCCACTACTACTGTCACCTCTTCTACTACTACTGCTATCACCACTTCTACTACTACTATCACCACTTCTACTACTACTGCTATCACCACTTTTACTACTACTGCTATCACCACATCTACTACTACTACTACTGGTATCACCACTTCTACTACTACTACTACTGGCATCACCACTTCTACTACTACTAATACTACCACTTCTAATACTACCATTTCTACTATATTCAGTTCAACTACTTCATACTACTACTACTACTATTGTCTACACCCACATCTATTACCTCTACCTAATATCACTTCTACTAATTACTACCACTTCTACTACTGCCTTCTGCTAACGCCATATCTACTAATACCTACTACCACATCTACGACTACTACTATCACTACCAATTTTCCACTTCTACCTGAGAAACAGTGATATCTAAATATTCAGTGAGACTTTTAGCTTGTTTCGCTACACGAAGTGATTTGAAGAGCTCTCCTCTGAGCAGATTTCATTGCTTACTTCTCGTAAAACCGCTCCTGAGTGCCGTCTGCTCAGTTGATAAATAAGATATGCGTGCAATACTTAGGCATCTATACTCTGGAAACGTTCAGCCAGCCACTGGCTTCTTCAGTTCAGTGTAGAGAAACGGTAAAACTTAAGCGTGAGACAATCAGTCGGGTTTCTAAACCATTAATTCAAGTATCTATGTTATGCATTACACTTTATTAGCCAATTCATTGCCAAAAAGGTTTCCTGACGTGTGATCTACAAGTAACAATCAGTGTTACTCCTCGACAAATTGTAAGCGATAAATTAGTGTTTAACTCAACCCAGCCAAACAATACTGAACCTAACTGAAATCAATAATAAATATAATTAATTGTTGCTCATTATAGCGTGTTAATTTACGTTGAATTAACTTACAAAAAACTGAATTAACAAATTAACAAGAAAAACTAATTTCGCTTTGGGCAGGTATGTACAAGTGTTTCTTTGTGTAAGTTCGCTGTGATTAGTCGGGTGTATAAACAAGACTCCGCTAACCGTTGATTATCCCTGATGCTCAAGAAGAATAGCCTACTAATATCTCCCAAAAAAATATTTTGCACAACAAGCTGCTATTCGGTGTATACATACCTAGCACGCATCGTAAAACACAAAGCAATGTTTGAATTCCGCCATGTTAGTAGGCAGACTACCAGCTTCTTCCATAAGGCCATGACTAGTCATATCAGACTCGTACCAGGTGATTTTTTTTTACCAGAGAATTGTAGTACTGTACTTACCCTGGAGACCTGGTGGTGATGGAGGCGGGGGTTGTACTCTGGTGGTGGGCTGGTGGAGCGGCCATCAGGACTGACCCACGAGTACGTCTGAGCCACCACCACTGACGCTGGAAGCTGGCTAGTTGTTGCTACTGTTAGCGTAACTTCCTCACACGACTTGAGCAGCTGTGGAAGGAAAGTGATAGCGTTAGCAGCTGTGGGTGGAGAATGATAGCCAATGTATGTGTGTGGTGTGTGTGTGTGTGTGTGTGTGTGTGTGTGTGTGTGTGTGTGTGTGTGTGTGTGTGTGTGTGTTGTCTGTGTGAGGAGAGTCATAGCGTCAGCGTGTGGGGAGTGATAGTGTGTGTGGGAGGAGAGTGATACCTTGATTGTGGAGTTGGTTGCGTGTGGGAGAGTGAAAGAGTGTGTGAGTGGTGGTGCGGGAGAGGAGTGCTAATAAGAGTGGTGGTGATGTGGGAGGGAGAGGGGAAGGGAGGAGACGGTAAACATGAGAAAGGAGCTGAGAGGAGAGGGAGAAGAGAAGGGAAAGAGTTTAATACTGTATTCAAGGGGAGGCAGTAAACTCTCAGGGGGGGCCACCCATCATCCTAGAAATGGGAGACTACCAATTTTTATATGACGAAAATAGGAAAGGGCCAATTCCTTTTATCAAAAGCAATTTCACCGTTGAAAGACAGAGGCACTTACCAGTAAGGTCGTTACTTATCCTTTATCAAATCTGTCAGTATAAGGCTATCGTAATGAGGCTCAGAGCGGTTATGTAATCTCTACAATTCATATTCATATGTACAAGAATGGAAAGTCAAATTGTTAGTAATGTATCTAACAACTAAAATATCCAGTAGGCAAGGATGTAACTTAGGGTATATACTCTAATGTACAGCATGGAAATTCATGTCGTTAGCAATGTAACTAAATACAGCCAAAATATCCAGTGGGCAAGGATGCATATTTGACAATACAGGATGCCCTTAATAAACACACATTCTAAAGGTCCTTGTGAGGGTTTCGTACGAGAGGACAGACCTTTCCAGAAGCACTGAGGTGAAAATTAAGATCAGCTGTTATATAAGGCAGCATCAGACCTTGAGAGTTCCCGAAGTACTTCAGAATGTGTGATGTCATATCTAATAAGTTCATCTTGTGTATTACCCACTTAGATTAAATATGTAGGTAATGCCACTAATTTAAATGTAATGAAAACCCCAAATACTCATTTGCTTTTAAAACTTTCGGTTTAATTGAGGTAAATTTTAAGGTCCATACAAAATAAAGCCTGGAGAAATATAATAAAAGTGATCTATAGTCGCAGTTTAGGCTATACATATTAGGCAGCAGGTGCAAATACCTGTTTCAGGAAAAATAAACAAAATTCACCAAATGAATTAATTCGCTAAATACAACTTCACTCTAATTTTTAAGAAACCTTGATACTGCACAAAATTAAACTTTTCACAATTTATTAAGATAAAGCCAAAAACCCTATGAATCAAAACAGTCTATTATAATGTTATCATAACTAGATGAGAACTTCATCTAGTTATGACAACATTGTCATGTTCTGGTCGTCTTCTGTTCTACCTGACACAGTTCCTCACCTCGTACAGACATCCCACAATAACAACAATACAGCAGACGGAGACAAAACAACCTCCAACGACACACAAAGTATCCCTTGTGTTCATGTATCTTTTCAACCCAGTCTCCCCCATGTAAACAAATAAACCGTACGTTCTTGATGTTAGATTTATTAGCAACATAAAAATCTAATATTGAAATACATCGTAGCAATCCTGCACTAGTACAAATGCCATTATTTATGTAATATTTGCTTAGCTTGATTCAATAACACTGTGTTTATGAAAATTTGAGAAGTGACTGCCTATTACCTCTTAATGCAATGAGATATTAATTAGTGTGGTGATGGCTGTTTTTCGATTCTACATCACTAATCTTTACTTGCTTCATGTAGATTAAAATGACCACAGGCCATCCATACATTATTTTCCGAACCAGACGACATTTTTAGTAGCATTTTTTTTTTTGTAGATTAAGGTTCGTCGGGAAACAAGACAAGTGTTTCCTGACGCGTGTCTTAGTCAGATGATGACCCGCCGTTGGAGCTTTTGGTCATCTGACCGAGGCCTTCAGCTGGCTTACCGGTCGATATCGCAAATTGAAGACACACATATCTGTAAAGGTGTTGGGGACGTCTCCACTGTCTCTGTCCTTCTTACTGAATCATGGAACCCATAAACAATCATGGGAACTAAATGGATGAACATCATTAACTAAAATAAGACTTAGAGAGCTCTTTCAATTTGCCCGTTCCAGTTTTCAACTCCCAGGTAAATATAACCTGCCCCGGCTCATACATAACGTTCCTGTCAAAACGACCTCCAGGCTGCTAATACAGAGTAAACACTTTTGTACAATTATATGAGAAAACTAATTAATCGTATTAGCGTTATTAACAAAATTAACATTCAACATTAACATTCAATCTATGAACGACACCTCAAGTAAAAAAATAAAATGATTTCCCTTGTTTCCCATATCCATGAAATAAACATCTAAAACACTGACTGAGAAGCTAGAGTAACTAGATGTTTAATGAAACATTACGGCAATCAGATTATTGTTAGTAGAAGGTGACTATCACTGTCTACCGGAAACACTACAAAAACACTCAGTTGCAAGTGGACTTCTGTAAGGGCCATATTTTTATATATATATATATATATATATATATATATATATATATATATATATATATATATATATATATATATATATATATATAATATACATATATATATGTCGTGCCGAATAATGTAAAAACTGGTCATATAGTAAGAACTCACTTAAAATTAAAATTCTTTCTGAAATATTCTCTTATTATGTTTTAAGATATATTTTTTCATTAATAGTTAATGTAAAAATTCTTTTAATTTTGCACCAAAAAAACTTAGAAAACTTACCTAACCTTATTATAACAAGAGCAATTTATTTAGCCTAACCCAACTAAATATATTTAGATTTGTTACAAATATTTAATACTAAACAGAGTGAAAATATTTTTTTTCGTTAGGTTCAGAATGATTTCTGGCGAAATTATTCATACACAAATTTTCACTTGTCCTATATGGCAAGATGAGCGTTGCTATTTAAGCCAAGATCGCAATTTGCCTATTCGGCACGACACATATATATTATTATTTAATATATATTATAATCATATTATTATATAATATTATAAATATATAATATAATTTTGGATCAACTCAGGCCATATACATATATAGGATCAACTCAGGATCAACTCCATAGCAAGTAATTCAACACCATTTTTCAATGATATAAAGTCCTTTCTAAAATTTTGTCTCATACATTTAAAGATATATTTTTTCATTTATGTTAATTTAAAAATTCATGATTTTGTACCAAAAGAACCTTAGGAAACTTACCTAACCTTATTATAACAAGCACAATTTAATTTAGACTAATCTAGCTAAATATATCATATATAAGATTACAATAATTTAATATACCCAATAAAAAATATTTTTTTTCGTTAAGTTCAGAATGATTTTTGCTAAATTATTGCATACACAAATTTTCGCTTGTCCTATTCAGCAAGAAGAGCGCTGCTATTTAAGCCAAAATTGCAAGTTTTACTTATTCACCACGATATATATACAAGAGCTCATACTTCCGATGTAATGTCTTCCCCTAAGTTACTTTAGAACCCTTTGCGTGTAGTATAATACATTCAGAAATATAGCGAAAGAAATTTTGCAGCTCTTAACGCACTGACCCAGCACATCAATAAAGATTACGAATCGTCTCTAGCAAATGGACTTTCCAAGTCGAGAAGAAGATTCTTCTATTTGTTAACGTTTTCAGCGGAGATATGTGCCTGTTTACTTTCCTATCCATTCAGAGATATGAATCTACTTATTCTCACTCTTGAGAAGCTAAGTGCCTCCTTAATCAAGGGCTTTTGGGGCAGATATATTTTGCTGATTGTTTTCGATTTCAGCAGAGATGTACGCTTAGTTAAGTCTCTGTCACTGTTTACGTTTGCCTCTATTTACGTTTCGCTATTTACGTGTTTTTGGCAGTGATTTGTTTCCTCTGGATATTCACTGCCAGTCGGGACGAGTTTTTCCTCCGGTTTTCCTTATTCTCGTCTCCATTACAAGTTTATCCTTATTTTCTATTCCCCATGAAATGACTTTCTCTCCATTCTTTTTTCTGTCGAAATGAATTTCTCCTTATTCCGCTCTCTGAGTTCTTACTTATTCAGGATTCTAGCATGCATAAGTTCCCATTTAAATTCACATCACACTGATATATACCTTTGTTTATATCTTCCTTCTTGATGGATATATTTTACAAGTTAGATTTGGTTCCGGAAAGGATTTAGGCTCGAGTTAATTTTACTCCCTGAGATGTATGATTGTTTATCTTAGACTGCGGGGGGAAAAATGTGTTTTATCCATATTTCTAAAGCCACAAGATATCTTTGATGTGTGGCGAGATTCCAGTAACAATAGAACGACTTTCTTTTCCATGAATCTCGTACAGGTTGAAAAAAGGGATTAATATTTTTTTATATTTAATATGAATTGCTAGAAGTCATGTGGTTAATTCAAGGCAGGGAGTGGCGAAGGTCTGATTATTCGTCCGGTAATCATGAAATATGACACGCTACTGTTCTCACCTACTTCTGAAACGAGGTAAATGCATTCTCCTTTGGATTTAAGAAAAAGTGCACTCCCAGTCTCTTTCCTCTCTCCCTCTCTGTCTGTCTCCACTGACACACGTGCGCACACAGAAATTCATTCTCCTCATTCTGCAGAACAACATTCGGTGATTTTTCTTCAAGAGGAACAGTCATTACCGAATAGGAAAAGTCAAAGTTTATTATTGCAATTAGTCAACGAAAGTCGGTCTGAGCATAAACAATATAAAATGATGCAATAATAATAAATAATAATAATAATAATCGAACCAAGCGATAAATCCGACAAGGTCATACAACGCTGCATGGCAGGATGTGTTTAAGAAGGAATAAGCGGAGGTCAGGGGTTAATGTAGGGCAGGAGTGTGGAAGAGATTGAGAAGCCGGTTGGTGGAGACTACTAAAGGTACAAATATAA